CAAGGGTGTTTCCACTTGGGTCAGGTTACCGAGAAATCGTTGGCCGAAAGCCTGGAAGGTTATAAGAAAGTCCCCGTTGTACCTTTGAAGCTTGCTCTTTACGGGCACCCCCGACTCAGGGGGGATATGGGAAAAGCGCTGCGAGACGGAACTAAAGAAGGTGGGCTTTGAAGCAGTGCTCACTGACATATGGGAGAGTGTTTCTAACATCCTATGAAGAAGCTACTATCATGATCAGTGGTTTACGTTGATGATTTTAAGCTTGCTGGACCGAAGGCCACCGTTAAGGAGGGTTGGGACTCCGTTTCAATCGTCATCGACATGGACCTTCCCGAAGTGATTGGTAGATACTTTATGTTGCGTGCACAAGGAAGAGCGTAACTTCACGTACCCAAAGATGCTCATCCCTTTCGTCGTGTATTCGAGCCTGATCCGAAGGCAGCCACTCCGGCGAGAGCAGAGGACTATTGGGATATCGATCCCGAGAACCTGCTTGCCGTCAGACATCATCACTAGCCCCCGGAAGCGCCTCTATGTACCTAGTGAAGACGATGCAAGAATGTGGTACACTGTGGTGGCGAAGCCTGAAACCCACATCATTGATAATTCAAACGAAACTCGCGACCGCTGTCTCAAGGATTGGTGGGACGGCGAAACTTACTTTGATGTTGCCAAACTCCCGACCACGCCGCCAGAAGATAAAGCCATCCGCAAGGATGTTCCGGCGTATGGGGCGAGCACTTTGGGGTTCAGAGCATCGCGTAGCACATCAACGACGTTGTTGCGCAGGACGCTGATGGGAAGATTAGCTACGAGCTCACCGCTGCTGTGGAGCTGGTCGACGAGGGTGAGTATGAAAACTTTATCCCGTCGAGCATGGGTCGCATCATCGAGGAGCCGGCGGCAAAGCCGAAACCGGCCCCGAGATAAAGACGATATTCGCCGCGAGATTTTCGTCGACCAAAGCGCCCCGCATGGGGCAGCCACGGCAGCTGGAAGTCCCGTTTAATCCGGAAGACATTGTGGGGGATAAGGACGTCAAATTAATCACGGCGACCTAAAGTTCCTGTCCCTTCTTCTTCGTGGACACGAACTGGAGAAGCATGGTTTGGCGTTTGACGCCGGTTGCTGGACCGACGTAGACAAAGCGCTCGACCGGTTCAATCGCTGCAGACAGCGACGCTGGGGAGTTCGGCAGCTGCTTCGTGCAGCGAGAGCGGATAGTAAAACCCGCATCCGATCTGCTGGGCATCGATGTTCCGATGCGCGAAACAATCGGACAGCCGCTCTTCCCGGTCCGGATCAGGATCACCCAGGGCCACAACAAGAAGTTGGTGGAAATTCGGACACCCCTGGCGACCAGATTCTACAGCGACTTGGACGGCGACGAGGCTCTCATCAAATCGAGCGAGGTTGGTACGACGGTTCTCTCCCGCACGGAGACGCCGAAGTCCTTGTACCACCGCACATCCTTGCAGGGACTCGAGAGCATCCTCCAGAAAGGCATTATCTCAGGTGCGAAGAACTCTGGCCGTGACCATGTCTACTTAAGCGCATTCCGTCTTGACGATACTGCGTACCAGAGTGGCATGAGGTCGAATCAGCCCGTGAAGATCACTGTGGATACCTTAAGTTGTGAGTTTTTCGTAACTCACTCGGATGGAACGCTTACCTGCAGCACCATCCCGCCGGACTGCATTATTTCGGCAGTCGACACCTGCTCTTTTGTCTTCGCTGCAAGGCTCCCCAAACGGATGAGTCGGCAAAGTCAACAAAGCGTTTCCTGGACAACATGAAGCAGCTGCATTCACTTAAAGCCCAGGGCAACCTGGAGCATGTGTACGCTAGGAAATGATGATGGGAAATGATCCGCCTTAGCTTGAGCTGCCCGGCGAAGGGGTTGTAGATTTTACCCTGCTCCCACAACTACTTTTGTTGTCCTCATGGCTGATTGTTTACGCGACGCGACTGGGGCTCAAGTCCCCACGAGTAAAAGGCTCAACAGGGTTGACTTAGCGGTAGCACTTGTGTAGCTGGCTGTAAACCCTGAAACTTCAATATAGAAACGAGTTTGTTTTGATACGAAAAATCTGTTGAGTTCAAAGGTTTCCCATTGAAGGGCTTGGCTCTAAAGTTAGCCCTTCTTTTGCTGCTGCTATATACTGCTACGACTGCTGCTGCTGCTGCTGCTACTACTGCTGTTGTCATTGCTTCTAGTACTACTACTAGGACGACGACAAAAAGACGACTACCGCCAGCACTAGTTTTCCTGCTCTTCTGGTTTGCGTCCCTGCAGAAAACCCCCCGCGAAGGCACGCGAGTCTACCCCAAAGAATGATGTGCCATCACATGCCATCACCATCCATGGACATCCCATCATGCGAGCCTGTGTGAATGAAGAGAACCCGTGCGGCTACAGGAGGGTCGAATCAGGACAGTGGGGGTCAAACCATGGATGTCAGAAGGAAGTGCTCAGGGGGTCAGAATGCAGATGGTCAGGGCCAATAAAACGATCGGTGGAGAAAAAAACAGGGGGGGTCAAAAATAAGACATGCCCATGAGCTTTTCTGACTTTCCCAAACAGGGTTTCTCTGATGCGGACGAGGCTGGGTCTGATGGTGGCGCCCAGCAAGCTGAATTTGGGCTTGGTGGTTCGAGGCGCGTGGTGTGCTCACTGCCACACCACAGCTGCCAGGGGGTTCTTAGGACCTCGGGCTGTGAGGGGCGCAGTGAGCTGCAGGTATTACCGGTATGCGGTATGCTTGTGAGGTCGCCTGGGCAGCGATCTTTGGTCGGGTGGTAAGTTCCACGGTGCACCAGACGATTATTTGGAAGGTGGAGTGTCGCCGTAGACTGGTTGTGTTATTTGTATGAGCATATCTGAAGCTGCTGAGTCCTGTCGTGCTGGAGGCATCGAAGATGCCGGAGCTATTGCGACACTTGGCGCAAAGCCATGTAAGATGGGTGACACGTTCTGGCCGCATACCGGTTCATGGCATGTCGCAGCTTAACGTGCAAGCACGCTGAGGCCTTCTTGAGATCCGTAAGCTGATCTTCTGGGCCGTTCTTAATCCAAAACCCTCTCTTGTTTGCTATGTCTGAGGGCGATATAAAATGACGAAAGTTCCGTGAGTCGAATTTTTTCTTTCAGGAGGCAGAATCGTACAGATGGCGTGGACTACGTGAAGGCACATGTCGGGGTTTCGCTGCTGCAGTTTTCTGCTGTCAAACAGGGAGAAACTGTAGCTTGCATTGCACAAACATCCGAAGTTCTAAGCTCTTTTAATAAAAAATGCGCTTGTAATGATTATGCATTCATCAGAAGATCAAAGTTGAGCGACTTGTTTGTGTTGTTTTAAATTTTACGGCCTTGAAAGCCACAGTTGTGTCCTGCAGCGCAAGGCCGGGATTTGTTAATTAGGAAAATGGACACTTTACAGAGACTAGTTCATATTGACTCGTCTGCATTGTAGGTGGGAACTTCTGTGAACGATGTCCATGATTTTTAGTTTGCCAGCATAGCCACAGCTGGCGCTGTCGTTTTGGCAACCTGTGGTTGTGCTGGCCATCTAAGAACTGATTGTAAACACAGTTGGTAGAGGACCTGACGTCCCCAACATGTGGGCCAGGCAAGCGATCGTTTGGTTGCCATCGATGGACACTTCCTCACGCCTTCTGCTCTTGCTGCTCGGAAGTGTAATGGGATGCGCATCGGGGGAGTTGCTTGTCGGTAGGTCGCTGCTTCTGCTTTATTTGCAGGTAGTGAAATCACGAAGATGCGCTGGCCTCCGCACACTTGAACAAGCATCTGCTGTTCTGCTTTGCTTTCGATGTGAAACGTAACTTGTGCACTGTTTTCTGTTGTTTTTGTTTTTTCTCTCTCTCTCTCTCTCTGTCTCTTTTTGCCTGTGCGTGTGTATGTATATATATATATATATGTATGTATGTATGTATGTATGTATGTATGTGTGTGTGTGTGTATCTGCATATGCATATGCATACGCATTTCTGTACACAACCCTACACACACAGACAGATTGAGGTGTACATATATATATATATATGTTTACAGTGAGAGAGAGAGAGAGCGAAACTCATATGTATGTATGTATATATATATATATATGTGTATGCAATGTAGGTTTACATATATATATATATATATACATGCACTTTCTATAATATATATATATATATATATGTATATATATATAACATACATACATACATACATACATACATACATACATACATACATACATAAGGCCCCGGGTGAGGGAGGTCTTTCCGCTTCATGCAACGCGCTACATGAGGCCCAGAGCTTGTTGCCAGATCAGTACAAGCTGACCATCTACAGATACTTCTCGGAGCTCTGACTGCTGGCTATCACCGGGCATCGTAACACCAACAAGCAGAGCACCACAGATCGAAAACTGTTGCCTCAGTGTTACATCAAGCTCGTACAAGTCACGGAATCGGAACTCAGTTTCAATACAGCAGCCTTCTCTCTCTGCATTTCCGGATGTACAGCAAGAATTCGGGAGTTCGGTTCCAAAAAAGCAGACTGAACAGACAGAGGCATGCAGCCATGGCTTGCTGATAGGTCGTAGTCGAAGCCCAGGTAGGTCAAGGAGAGTGCAAGCCGCAGCAACTGAGTGGCACAGCCAGCAATATTGACACTGCGGCAAAGTCCCCAGTGCAGCCCGAAGCACGTTATGTGCCGGGCCGACGCTAGCTGCCTGCTGAACACGAAATAGGCTAACGCATACGAAGTCAGACTTCAATATTGTCGATGTTTGTTTGTCGCGTTTTGGAGACTTCCCACATCCTGTGATGATGAACGGGTTGGCAAGACTTCTGAACCCCTGCAGGCATGGCCTCAGTGGCCGGAAGCAAAAAGCACAACTTATGCTAGCCCTTCGTCTGCGGAGCTATTGATTGGCCACGCCGCCCTCACACGATGCAATGCATAGCAACTTGCGTGTCCTGAGCATCGTCAGGAGGCCACCACGAAACAGTGGTGATTGCCACTGTGTCTCCGAGCAGCAAGGACACTTGCTTCCTTCCACTTTCTTCTGAGAATACCATGCTGGAAACTTGGCTTGGGTTGCGCGAGCAGGGACCCCGCGGGTGCAGAAGAGATTGCAGGATTGACAGGCCTTCTTTCTAGAGAGATTCACAGAGCTGTCACCTTACATGCGCCTACTTCCTAGCTTGCAGTAACGATTTCAGAAGGAAAGGACCGACCCAGCCTCAACACCAAACCAAATCAACTACAAGTACAATGTTTGACTCATGACAGGACACAGAGCACTCGCTGAACACCCTCCGGCATGCATGCATCATGGACGGACAGGGACAGGCTCTCCTTGGCACAGCTCCCAAGTTGAGCTTTGACAAAAAACGGTTGATTGAGTTTGAGGATGCAACTTGCTCAAACATGCATTTAGCGCTTTGTCACTGTATTGCTTGATGTTGCTTTGCGAACTGGAAGCAAAGCCGTGCAGTGAGTCTTTGGCTCTTTGGCAAAGGGAGGCTCGGCAAGGACATGCTGTCAGTCAAATTCCCACCCTGCAGGGCAAGAGCGACAAGGGCTCACACCTCGGCGGTGGAGCGGTCACCAAGGAGCTGCAACGGACTAGGCCCAGCAGTACCGTGCGCACTCTACAAGCTCCAAACTCTTTCGGGCCATACTGGTAGGTGTTGGATGGTGTTGGTTCATTGATATGAGGCCCTCCTCCCCAACAGACATGACGCATGGGTTTGGGTGCAGATTCTGAGCCTTGACAAGGAGCTACTTGGTGAGATTGATGCCACCGCCTTAGCGGACCCGAGGTGTTAGCGTCTGCAGATTCCAAGCCGCACACTATCGATAAGCCCGGTCTTGCAAAATTATCGTGGAAGCAGCCGGCGATGGTCTAGCATGCAATGGGAGAAGCTGAATCTTGGGCTCAAGCAGATGTTCACAGGTGCAGCTGTAGACCACATTTCCGTGTTTGGTGTCGCAGATTGAGTTCGAGGCACCTGACGCAGCTAGGACCAACCAGGGCAGGTTTTGCAAGCCAACCCGCGGTGATGACTGCTGCACAAGCTCATGGAGCTATGCAGGAGCCTTGGCCACAATGCTAGCTGTGCCAATGGGACCATTAGGTGACATGCCTTCTACAGAATGTGGACAGACGCACACTGCTTTGACAGTAGAACTGTTGAAAGAAAATGAGCAGTTTCGCACGACGCGCCACCAGTTTCTGGCATGCTTGTAAGGGGCAGTGCTCTTGTGTACACATGGCCGGTGGCTGGTGTGCGTGGAAGCCGCCTTCATTCCTGGATGTGTTTGTCCACTCCGACTCTGCTTTGCAATATTGCTGTCTGGTTTGGACGCCAAGGTGACTTGTGGTACTTTGACGTTTCAGCCGTTGGGGGTGGGCACGAACAAGTGGGGCACGGACCCGGCGAAGCTGCTTTGTTGCACTGTTGCACTTAGACTGGTTGTGAAAACCGAAGCTACATCAAGGGAAGCCCTGCAAGCAACCGGCATAGTCATTCGCGCTTAAACAATGATGAGGCAACATGCGTTGCATGTTTTCCTTGAGCAATTTGCGAAAGCAAGCCCGTTGACATCCTGCAGTACATTAATGTGGTGGCTGTGGCGGTGGTGGTGGTGGGTGGCGGAGTCGAGCGGAACGACACTAGTCCCTATCGGTCCACATATTCGGCGAGTTGGTGCATAGAGACATGTTCTGACAAAGCAGGCTCCAGAATGTCTTGGCAGTATTCTGCAAATTGACGTGCCTGAGCGAAGCAGGTTCTCTGAGCCCAACATCCGTGGGGCTTTCGAAACATCTCTTTCAGAAGGCCCGGCGCTCAGCATGACAAATGAAGCATTGAGTCTTGCTTCTTCTGCGTGCTTGCTGCACGCAGTCCAAACCGACAGTATCAGACCCAGCCCCAGACCGTTGCAAATTCGATCTAGCATTATTGTGACACTGCCGCCTCAACGCACTTCATGATTTCGTCCTATATGTCACTGTTATGCCGGCCAGTCTCATCAACATAGCTGTCCTACCCATGTGACAGAGCCTGATGGGATTGCCTCGCTTACCAGCAGATGATGGACAGTGCACGCCCTGCAGTGTTGCTTTCCATCCGCAAGGAGTGACCCTGCTGAACACAGCGCAGCTGTACGGCACCTCGGAAAACTGCATAGGCAGATTCGGGATCAGAGCTTCAAGCGGGTCATGTCTCCCTAGGTATGAAGGGCATCATGAGTCAAATCAATGCGGCCGAGAGCACCGAAACCGTTAAGCTTCACAAGCAGTGGAATTCCTCGAGCAGTCCTTGGGCTCTTTTCTTGTTACTTCACGCGACTCGCTTAGTTCTCGCCCTGAGCAGGGCAGCTTCGTGGCAGAGTGACCGGAGGCGAGAAGGCCTGTTGATCTGGAGCGGGAATCAAGAGGCACCACACTATTCCTTTTTCTAGTTAGGCAGCATGTTGGCATTCAATGCAAGTTGGTTTCAGTGCTCGACGGTACCGTTTGGAAGCTTTGACATTTTATTTTATAGGTTCCGCTGCCTAGCAACGATTCTCCTGACTGTCCGACTGGAGCCGGCTTCAAACTTCCTTCGTGCTTCGGAGCAATCGAAGTGTGGAGGGTCTGAAGTCTTCAGGTTGCGAGCATGTCCCATCCGACTTGCGTGTTTTTGGGGGCACAGCTCCAAACATAGTCCTTTGGGTGAGTCTCAACTCCGAACAGCGAGGCCTTGGTAATCTCCAAGTTTGATGCCCTGGGCAAGAACACAGAGCAGCTGATCCCCAGCTTGTGGCATGGCGACTGGAAGCTAGGGGTTTGTAGAACTGCATAATTTCCATTTCGCTCAGCTTCTTGGATTCTGTGCCAAGGGAGGAATCTGCCTCGAAGTGTGGTGTCGATGCACTGGACGGCTTTCTCATCCACCACCCGAAAGGCCGGGCATATAAGTGTAGGGGGCTGCTGGAATTGAGATTGTTTGAGCTTCGGTTTTGGCAGGGGATGGCGTTGGAAAACACACCGGAAAAGGGATCCATGCCTCAGTGCGCTGATTGAAGCCATAAGATCCCACGCAATGGATTTCAAGAGGATGAGACAACAATCCAAAGGTTGCCCCATGAGCAGCCAGGCAGTGCGACGGCAATGGCTGATCAGCTGGCTGCTGCTTATCAGAGAGGCCGGGTCCCGGGTCCTCTGTGACTGGGAGCAGCATTAGAAGCTGCAGGTGGTTGACAGTTGACGGTGTATCATGGCATCTGGGTATTTAATGTTGACAGCCTAGACTGAAAACATCAAGCCTTCACTGCTATGTGCATGATGTACATAGCTGTTGCTGCACGCCTGGGGGGCCACAAGCAGGCCGGTAGGTGCTCGTACGTTTGTAATTACTACTACTACTACTACTACTACTACTACTACTATTACTAGCATTGTTTTTCTTTTGCTTGATCTTACCCTCCTGTCTTACCAACTGCAACATGAGAGTGGCACGACTCGCACCCCAGTGTGCGAGCGGCATTGTTCGGACTTCAGCAATCCCCAAAGCCCGTATATAAAGGTGGCCTTTAAGACGACGCGGCGGGAGCCTGCGAGGCTCCTGGCCCCCAATCAGAGATTCCAACCAGGCATCGTCCGCAATGTTGGGGTCTCCAACTACGATGAGACAGCGCTGAGGGAAATGCACGCTCTGCTGTGCCCAGGCAGCAGCTTACTGTTAGCAATGTTGACGAACAGTGGCGAGGGCCAAAGTCCGGCGGCGTTGCAGGCTGGCGCAGCTTTGATTCCCAATGCAATTAGCGGTGCACACAACGGGAAAAAGCCTCGATCCGCAGCCATCAGACACGGGTTAAGAAGACTTTGATGGCCTGTGTCTCGACTCGCATTCAGGCCTGAATTTGCTCGTCCGCAGGAACCGTGCCACAGCAGGGAGTTTACGTGTCCTTCGACCACGCAGTTTTTCTGGTTTCCATACACACATGGAAGCGGGCGGCTTCAGCCCTTGTCCTCTGGCATCAGAACCCGTACTGTGTGCGTTTGTGTTTTTCATGCCGGCGGCCCAAGGTCTAAGTCTAAGGTATCTCGTCGAGGTGTTGAGGCATGTGGCTTCCATTCCGACCACGAGAAAGCGCAATAGAAACATAGGCACACACAAAGCTGGAGAGAGGCTATAGCCCAACCATACTGTAGTGCCTTTACTTTGCAGCTCCTATCCTTCATGACTCCATGCAGAGACTGGATACCGACATCAAGTTGAATCACTCAGAGAAACTACGTCGCTGTTGAACTTCGAGCACGGGACCTTCCGACAGAAGTCCGAACACTTATGTAACAAGGCTCATCAACTTGAAAGGCAGTGAAAGCCGATCTCGGGATGAGCTGCATGTTGCCCAGCTAGTCGGATATCCACGCCTGAAATCGAAGGACTGAGCGTGGAGTGCCTTTGGCATCTCGGCCCTCCTGTTTCGGAATACTCTTCGGACTTCTAAATCGCGCAGGATTGCTGGTACGAATCAAGCGGCCGCGTTTACATTGACATGCGTCCTGTACACTTCGCATTAACGGCTGCGGCTTATCAGATTGTCTCTGATGAATTCCGTGCCTTCAGGTTTTCAATGAGGTCGAGTTTTCTTTGCTACGATGTCTGCCACAGACGAACGGACTTCTGCGTGCTTGCAAGGAGATTTGCGCATCCACTATAGGTCACTAGGTGTAAGCCATGGCACGGCAGTCGGCACTCTGTGAAGCAGGGTCCTTGTCCTGACGTGATGTGCTGTTGGTGCTAGTGATAGCAACCGTGGGTCGTAGTAGTAGAAGTAGAAGTATAGGAGTAGAAGCAGCAGCCGTAACAGTAGAAGTAGCAGTAGCATTAGAGTCTTAGTAGTAGTCGTCGTCGTTGTCGTAATAGTAGTAGTAGTAGTAGTAGTAGTAGTAGTAGTAGTAGCAGCAGTAGCAGTAGCCGCAGCA